ATAGAGTGAATAACAACAACAACAAAAAACAGATATGAGATTATGAAGAAGTGGGTAAGATACACCCTGGGAAGGGGACTGTGGACGTAATGAAAAAAAGGTCAGGTGTATGAAAGAAGAAATATCATGTTGACTAGAACTCAGGTTACAAAGTTATAGGGTAATAGAACATAGGCTGGAATTTGCAAGAATACTAACGGACACTTTGAATTCAACTTAAGTGAATTTCAATTAATTTTTTAGAGGTATTTTTGTGCTACAGATTGGGATTATTCAAGAGATATTGTGTAAACTGCTTCTGATCATTAAAAAAAAAAAGTATAAATAAAGTCAAGGAAAAGATAAGTTTAGTGTGCTAAAGCAGATGTCCAGCAAAGTGATTATAAATTATTAGCAGTGAAAATTAAAAGATGGAGCTATATGTTAACAGTGAGTTTTTATAGAACTCAGAGCTAAACATGCCTCAGTATGCTGTCCTTAAAGTCTTATCATAATGTTTAATTTTTTGTGTGTTTTGAGTTATAAACAACTAATGCATAAAGATAATTTTGGAATATAATGTATTTACAAATCAAAAGCAACTACTCCATGTACTGCACCATAAGTAATGATACTTACAAACTTTCATCAACATATTTTACTTAGATTCTGGAAAACATTGTGATATACTATAACAACTCATCAAAACTCTTTAAATAAATTTGAGAGTTTATTTCTGTTTTTAGTTTATATTCCATCAGTTACTTGTACACCTCAAACTGCCATACCTGAAAAGCATAAGAAAAAATAACCTATTCAAGTCCATTATTTTATATCTACTTCAGCTATATATTAATATTTAGTGTACAAACCAGTAAATGTGAGTGTCACTCCACCTTTTGATACATCATCAAATATAAAGCAGACTCCTACCAATTTTTCTTTTGTTAATTGTGTTTTCCAATGCTTTAGGTAACATATAAACCAATTGTAACCATGAAGACAGAGTTCAATCTATGTTAAAATCCCTTTCCACTCTAGATTCTATTATTACACTCATGATTTCAGAATGGGATAATAAAAGTTTCTAAATTAAAATTATAAAGACTTGAGAGGTAACTCTGTGACAAAGGTACCTTATTTAATAGTGGCTACCTACAGGTGGCTCGTTAGCTCCATGTTCCTTGCTCTGCACAAAGCAAGTGCTAAATACATATTTTTAAATTAAAATGGAATGGTCAATTAAGTTGATATTCCAATTTATTAAATGAATTTTCACAATTGTGAAAAATAAACATTGTTTTATTCCTTTTAAAAAATAAATACCATGTCTTCTTTGTCTGAGTATTGGGTTTCTCTTCATAAAATAAATGTGATTTAACAACTAGATATTAAAATCAAATAGGTAAATTCTATTCAATTCTCAATACTAATTGGGATATAGTTAATGATTATTGATCCATGATAAGCAGGGATTATTCTGGACTTTGAACTTATGTATAACAAACTAAAGTGTTATAAAGATTCTCTAAAAGAATAGTAGGGACATTTGCTGTGCTTCTTGTTAGTTTAATTTCTCTCTTGAGCAGTATTACGATTCTACCTAAATAATTCAGTCACACGTGCCTATTCAAGTTATAGAGAAGCTAGATGACAATTATTATGACTTTGTTTTCTTCTTGGGTAATGATACAAAGTTTTCCTTATTATATAAAACAATATTAGTAAATTTCTGATAGTTTCAGTCAAGAATGATCAACCAAATATCAAATTGCATTATTGCAAAAAACAAAAACTTGCTATATATTCCAACATTTCTGACTTTTCTGTCCTATATTTCAAATGTCCAAAATGCCATAACAATTCTGCAGTATTGCCTTATTAAAATTATCTTAATTCACGTTCTTACTCTTCTAATCCATCCTGAACAATGAAAGAAAACTGATTATTTCAGTTCTGTGCTCCCCTCATAACTGATTTGTACAAAGGCTTTTAACAGATTATTTACATTTCATGCTATATGTAAAAAAACAAAACCCATCCTAGAATTCTGGACTTTTCACAGTGAAGGTCTAACTTTATACTATTAGACTAGCCTCTTTTTTTCTTTATTGTGCTATATACATGCAATTCCACCCTCTTAGATTTGTCCGGATGCACATAGTCACAAAAATTTTCTGGCTCTTTTTGTCCCTAATGACAGCCCTCTCCAAAATCTTAGAAAAGACCAGAAATTTGGAATTAAAGAAATCTTAATGACAATGTAAATTAACCCAACAAGAATCTGAGGGTTGGCAAGTTTAAACAACTTCTAAATTACAATAGTTACTGCGTGTCACAATTAAGACTAAATCTTGTAAGTTGCATGTTTGTGTGTATACACGTATATAATTTATTAAATTTTGCTGCACTACTTTATTTTTCTAAAACTGCTTTCTCTCAATTCAGGATCAAACCCAGTTTTTAACCTCTAAAAATATGTCTTCCCAATTTTATGCAATTTTACAGCACTTGTAAATTCATATTTTCTATGATACCTAGCTTCCATAAAACTATAAAGAAACCATGGAGATTTCTTCCCATTAGAAGCTACTTAGCCCTTCCCAATTCTGGCGCAGGGTGAATACGACAGGCCTTTTCTTTACGGGATGTGCTACCAATGCAGTGGATCCTGGAAGACTAGATTGAGGTCTACCAGGGGAGACCAGAAGCATTATGGTCAAAGACAATCTGCGAGACGCTCAAGAAGTTAAGTCTTTATCAGAATTCATATGTTTGACTAAGTTTAGAGTTAAGGGTCCAGTCAGCCACTATATATGCAAATAAATAGTGATGTCAAAAGCCAGAAAAGCAGGATAATGAGAGTAAATGCCCTTAATAACTTAGTAAAAGCTAAGATGTAGTTGAAATCTAGCCCACTTTTATAATGAACTAGCTACGTGGTAATGGCATATCCTAGATAAGTCCCTATTAAAAAAAAAAACAGGAAGAGTTTTATTTTTTCTATAGAAAGTAATAAAAGTGTTTTATTTTGCTGAAGTGTCTATTTCATATACATAGTAGCTATTGGAAACACAGAAATAGTTGACAGGTGGTTTTGGTTTCATTGTGTTTATTTTCTCCAAACATCTCATATTATAATGAGTGTTCCATTTGTGGTTCATAACCCGGTTGTCAAGAATAAATTGGCAAAAAAATCACACACCCTAACTTGTCCATGCATAAATCCAAAATGTCATTTTTCCAACACAAATGAAAAAAAAAATTATGAAAAGTAATTAAACAAAACTATGCATGGATATTTCATAATTGTTTATGACAGATTATGGAATTAATTAAAAAGGAAGCATGATTGTGCACAAAATTTTAAACCATAATGTATATTAAAAATGTGAGAGCAGGAATGGTGGTCAATTTAGAAATTAATTAATGTACACTCAATTTTTAGGGGAAGTATTTTTGTTTTCAGCATAAAATAAATGCTTGCTGTAGAGCCTTAACTGCCTTAAGATTATGAGCATCTCTTTTATCTGTGGCTATTCTTCTGTATTTGTGAATCTCCAAGGATAAAACTGTGTCTGTAAGGCCCTGTGACCTCAGTGTGTCCTTTATACACTTCCTTGGAGAAACATAAGGCAATTTCACGTCCTTAGACAAAAAACATTTGCTTGCTGAACTTGAATTTCCTGATGTTAGTTATTAACTGTAGTGTGAAAAGTGTTGTTAAATGAGGGTTGCCTGAGGATGCCATATGACCAACCTGAGAAGAAATAACAGGCAAAAAGGAACCAGCAAGCGAACTGAATGGGGTGGAATGAGCATGACCTATGGAATCAGAAAAGATAAATTTCAAAAGAAGAGAAAATAATAGGCTTCTGATAAAGGAGGCTGCATTTGATTGGCCCACACACGCAAGGAAGAATTAGATCAAAATTTTGGCAATTTCACAGAGCAAATGTATTCCTGTTTTAAAAGGTACAAGCATGACATTTGTGATATTAGGTACTTGGGTGTTTTTCTTTTTTTTTTTTTTTTTTTTCATTTTTGGCCTGATCTAATTTATGTGCCTGGTGTTGTCAGTGAATCAAACAATACGCAAACCATTACAGTCCCTCCAAGTACATATATGACATGACTCAAAAAAAAAAAAAAATTATGTTCTGTAGACTGCTAGCATTTAAAACTGTTTGTTTTGTTGTAAAAATTTTAACATACCTCAGCAACGGGTGTAAATTGGGAATAATTATACTTAACAAATGAATTGTCCTGAGTTTATAATAGTATGAATGTGATTGGTAAGGAAAAGGATGATAGATATATAGAAAATTATGGATGTCAGAAAGGTCATGCCACTAAAGAAAGAAAATAAGAGAGATAATGAGCTAAAGAAAAAGAAGTCTCTAAACACCAATGAAAGAGAGGCAATGAATCTGCTTCCTCCAAATTGAACACAAGAAGGGAGTTACATATTCTCTATTATTGTGTGCTTCTGATTGCTAATGAGCAACTTTGCTTCTGCTAACACAGAAGCATATCTTCTTAAAGATAGTGTCTTCTTTCTCCTTTTTTTAATCTTGACTTTATCCTTCTGCCTTAAACATTTTCGTCTAGATTACAAGCAGGAAGCTCACTCTAGCTGATATTAAGAAATAGAAACATCTAGAAGTACTTTATTTCTCATGCACAGTATACTATTCCTAACGATGATAAACTATTTATCAACAGATTTCAAGGAGAGTTTTATTTAGATAATACACATATGATTAAATAATATCTAGCTGATTAATAATGAATCACATCCATCCACATATGACTTAGTAGTTTATGCTTATTATTGATATTGATTTACATTTAGAATCCAAATATGGTTCCTTGTTCTTCCCCACTAAAATAATTTGCAATGTCACACCTTCTGAACATAGTTAAATATTTTTAATAATCACTAGTGATGTGAAAAGTTGCTGTAAAAAATAAATAGCTGTCACTTTCAGCTTTTAGATTTCTCATACAAAAATTCTTACCTTGCCTACATATTGTGTGTCAGTACCTGTGTACTCTTCCAATAAGAAGAACTGATTCCACATCCAGCCACGCTTGGTGCGACGTAGCATTTTGCCATCATCTTTTGTCAGACCCACTATCTTTTTGCTTGATAAATAACTGTTAGGTTTTTCTTGTAATAGGATGGTATCAACTGTATGGAACATATAGGTCCAGATGAGTAATGGTATACAATGGTAAGTCCTCATTATCTGCAACTTCAGCTGGTTGTCAAATTCAATGTATTGTTTGTTTTTCCTAGAGAGTAAGGAGAAAAAAATGGCTGTATTAGCTTGAGTTTCACTTTCCCAGAACGTGTATACTGAAAAACTTATTCCAGACATTATTTAAATTTTCTTATGTACTATATGTACATTATATTTCTACATCAGTGAACAGTCATGAAAAACTCATTTACCACATAGATAAGTGGAAAGACATACATAGCTCAAGTAGACTAAGCAGGAATTTAGCAGCTAATTTAAGATTACTATAAAACAATCAGATACGTATTAATATTTTTGTAATTTAAAACACTAAATATTTTGAAAAATAAGCTCTACAGTATACAAATTATCACAGCAAATGTTCCATAGTCCTTAAGACTAATAAAAGTAGAATATTAGCATATACATACATATATGAAATTACATATTTTAAAGAGAACTTCCCATAATCCATCATTTTTAGTAAACGGTTTTTCTACTCTGCCCCCTATCTTCCTCTTTATAATCCTTCTCCTCCATCAGGTTGAAATGTTGCCTCAAGGCAAATTATATGGTACCTAATATACTTAGGATTGTGTCTTACAATATTTAGCATCATGTCGATCTTTTCCAATCAATAACTATTTTTCCAACAATTAATCTAGTAGGACACTCAAACTTATTTGAGACTGAGGAGTACATGCTCTAAATAAAAACATTTTACATGGTAATTAAGAACAAATTTATTTTCCAAAATAATAAGAAAAAAATTAGCATACAAAGTTGGTATTGCAAAATTAGATAACGCATGTTATGTATAGAATAATCTGATCCAGAATTTTGAAATAATATCTCCCTGTTAATATAATAAGTTGATTATTCTTGTATGAGGGTCATAGTTCATTTGATATTTCAGAATTAGTTTTATTTGTCATCAAATTGGTTTTAATTTGTATGATATTTAATTTAGAAGATGTAAGATGATAATGGCTATGATCTATTAAGCAATGGAAACTAATCTCAAACTAGTAGGCAAAAATGTCATTGGGTTATAAAATCAAATTAAGTGTGGAAAAGAAAATAATAAAAGGAGCAAAGAAGCACTTGGGCATTTCCTTATTATGAAAATTAGAATTAGGGGCTTGAGTATTATATTCTTTTGCTCTTCTCTCTCTCTCTCTCTCTCTCTCTCTCTCTCTCTCTCTCTCTCTCTCTCTCTCTCATTTTATCTCTCACCCTGACTAAACCTCCTCAACCTGAATAAATTGTGTGAGTGATAATATCTCCTGAACTCAGATTTGAAATCTTCAATTTCAGAAAGCAACTGATAGTCTTTTCTAATTGGAGTTTTAAAAATCCTGGGAATGGGCTCCCATTTACCTGATTTAAGCCAGAAACCCAGTGTTGGACTAACCATCTATGAATTCAGTAATGGGAATAACAAGGTATAAAGGTCAAATATAAGGATCTAGCTTGGATTTTTGCCTTACTAGCTGTGATATTTTTGAATACCGAAATATGGTCTTAATTGGTACCGATCCACAAAGTGGTGGTGTTAATTGTATTTTAAACTTTTATCAATACAAAGTAATAGTCTTGTACATTACAATGACTTATTTTATTTTGAGGATAGCAAATCTGAGGCATGATGAATTTAAGTAGCATGACAAAAATCATACAGGTAATAAGTATTAGAACCAGGTTTCAGATATACAGTCTTAAGCACCATTTTTAATATAAGACAATGCCTGTAGAAGAGTTAGCACAGTGCTAGCACACAACTCAGCATATTAGCATTATCATCATGATCATCACAAGCATCATCATTATCATTGTCATCATCAAGCATGTTTGCCCCTACTATAGGCATAGAGATATGGGTCCAACTCAGCAGAAAGGAGAATGGTAAGTGACAGGTGGTATTATAGATTCTTGCTATGGTCCAGAGCTACAGATTCTGTCCAACACATCTATGTACCTTAATTTCCATATCTATTATTTTAAAAATTGGTCACTCTTAGCTCTTAATACAAACATATGGTTACAAATATATGCTGCTCTTAATACATACATATGATTAAGCTCCAGAATTACAATAATCCAAAATTACACCATTTTTCAATGCCAAAATCTCAGGTTATGGTTATTATCATCAGCCTTTATGTGGCTATTTGTAATCCTGTAAACTATGGAATAATTGGTAAATTTGACCACAGCCAATATAAAACCCTGAATTAGATATCAGAAATTTACAATGTTAAATAATGCTTAGAAAAATGTGTAATGGAGGAGTAACACCTAGTGGTCACTGGCCCAGAATACACCCCCTGTTTTGTAGCTCAATGATGCTGTAGTGGAAAATGAACGGTCAGAGAATCTCAAGGATAACTGTTATCTTATTTTGATGAAATACAACAAATTCCTTCGTTGACCACACTGTTTACCCTGGTTTCTTCCCACTGGTAGAATTTGTTTGATCATTGACCTTGCTTATAAGCCTTGCCAGAGAAATCAAAGGGTATTCTTTATTTCCTGGGGTCAGTTCTAACTATGATGCCTATTTGGTGTAGAACATAGGCCTTTGAGCAGAACAATCTAGTTTTTTTAGATGGAGCAATAGACTCAGGAAGGTGCTAGGATCCCACAGGCGTTTATAAACTACAGCAAGAAATTCTCATTCATTTTTGGTGCGACTGAAAGCAGTTGGAAGATTTTAACATGACATGTTTAGAAAAGATCAATCTGGCACAGACTAGAAAATAGGTTAGAGGGCAGGAAAGGGATTTGGTTAAGAGAGAGATCAGTTAGGGCCTATTACTCTAGTCCAGTAAGAGATGATGAAGGCCTATAGAGAAGTGGTTTGAAGAAGACACTGAAACACTGCTCAGATTCCCTTTCATCCTTTAATGTGGCCACACACCCACACTACATACACTACATTTTTTCTATGCTTTTGCTTCTAATGATCTGCACCTGCAACTGTGTTTGAACAACTTCCCTTGGCTACTGGAACCACTTTGTCCACATACACAGGATGCCTAATGTGCCTCCAAGTTTACAAACATCTAAAATATCCCATTGCCAGTATGTAACAGGTGCCAAAGTATGAAACCCAACATACTATTTACATTCTAGAGCTTTCCTACAGAATCGTAATGAAGCTGGGACTTTGATGCCTTTGTTTGGCTTCTTTTCCATCCGTGTCCTATTACTCCAATTAATCCTGCAATTCCTTACCTGAAACAAAATTTTCAACCAATCAATATCACACAAACCCTTGTCTCAGGTTTTGTTTCTGGGATATCAGACCTAATATGTGGATCTAATTCACATATGTAGATATTCAAAAACATACATAATATCATCTTATATATTGGTTATGGGGGGTGAAGAAAAAATAAATATAATGTATAACTTCTAGATTATTTATGAACTAGGTGGATGACTGAGTGATTTCTTTAGTGTCATTTATATCAGGAGAAAAGCAGATCTATTGGAAAAATAAAGAATCCATTCTTTTCTTATTCTTGGTCAAAATAAAGAAGTAATTTTTATACCTCTATCACTAACACCATTTGGGCATAATTAAAAATAGGGAGCAAAGTGGTTCTAATGATTTTATACTATAACTTGAATACGTATGCACACATATATATATTGCATATACATATGGATACATATACAGATAAATATATAAACGCATATGTACAAATGTATGTATGTATCATCAGGCATTGGATTCACATAAGCGGCACACAACCTAGATCCCTCGCATGCGCAGCTCACAATAGGGTTTGCACTCCAATGGGAATCGAATGCTGCTGCTGATCTCACAAGAGGCAGAGCTCAAGTGGTAATGCTCTCATGCCTGCTGCTCACCTCCTGCTGTGCAGCCTGGTCCCTAACAGACCATGGACCAGTACTGGTCTGCAGACTGGGGGTTGAGGGACCCTGCTCAAGGTGATAATAATACGAATGGAGCCACTGGGAGTTGATTATGTCATAGAGGTAGAGCTCTTATGAATGAGATGGTGCCCTTGTAAGAGACATGAGAGGGTTCTCTTGCCTTTTGACCATGTGAAGACACAGCAGAACAATGGCCATCTATGAACCAGGAAACTGACCCTCACCAGACACTAAATCTGCCATGCCTTGCTTGATGTTAGACTTCCCAGGCTTCAGCACTGTGAAAATAAATGTCTGCTGTTTATAAGCCACCTAGTAAACCATAGTTTGTTATAGCAGCACAAACTAAGATTAGTACCAGAAGGGGTTTGCTACTACAACAAATATCTAAAAATGTGGAAGTGGCTTTGGAACTGGGTAATAATAGGTAAAGGCTGAGGGAGTTTTAAGGTGCATGCTAGAAAAAGTCTGCATTGCTGTGAATAGATCATTGAGGATGATTCTGGTGAGGTCACAGAACGAAAAGAGAACAATCGAGAAATGCTTAATCTTCTTGAAGAATATCTAAATAATGGCCGGGCGTGGTGGCTGAAGCCTGTAACCCTAGCACATTAGAAGGCTCAGGCAGGTGGATCATCTGAGGTCAAGAGTTCGAGACCAGCCTGATCAACATGGAGAAACCCTGTCTCTACTAAAAATACAAAATTAGCCTGGCATAGTGGCGCATGCCTGTAATCCCAGCTACTCGGGAGGCTAAGGCAGGAGAATCACTTGAACACAGGAGGAGGAAGTTGCAGTGAGCCGAGATCATGCCATTGCACTCCAGCCTGAGCAGCAAGGGTGAAATTCCGACTCAAAAACAAACAAACAAAAAAAGAATATCTAAATAACGTGGTAACATAGAACAGAATGTTGATAGAAATATGGACAGTAAATGCCATTCTAGTGAACTTCCAGATGGAAACGGGGAACATGTTATTGGAAACTTGAGAAAAGGGTATCCTTGTTATAAAGTAGAAAAGTACTTGGCTAAATTGTGTTTATGTTCTAGTGTTTTACAGAATGTAAAATCTGGGAGCAGTGAAATAGAATACACAGCTAAAGAGATTTCTAAGAAAAGTGTTGAAGGAGCATCTTGGCTTCCCT